ATTTTGGGGGGGTCTCCTTCTTAAAGCCGAATGTTAGGAAAAAGGGTACCCTTATTACTAAGGGGTTACTGGGGAACCTAGTATGGCTGCTTCATGATTCCTCTGTAGAGTCGGTTTCGGGCTTCAGGTTGGTAGAGGTTTCATCGGAGCATACTGTTGATGATATAAATCCTCTGCATGATCTTCAGGACCCTAAACTATGGGAATTATGGTCTATTCCTTTGTTCTTAGACCCTAAACCCTAAGCCCTACACCCTAAATCCTAAACCCTTATTATGGGTAATGCAGGATCTATATCATCAACCGTAGTGTTTGCTTTCCTTCCATGCGAGGGGCATGGCTGCATCTGCAGGACACCTTGCGCTTTACTGTTGGCACCAACACCGCCAGGCTCGAGGCGGGAACTAGGGTTTTTGAAAGAATCCAAAACCCAAAGCCCTAGACTATTGCCTGACTAATTACGAATGTAGGAAGCTGATTAAGACTCTCTGGTCCTGCAACCCCAAAAATATGAGGCTTCATGGAAAGGAACCTGGAAGAATTCCCAAGGTTTCTTAATCAGGTTCCTACATTTGGGTAGTTCTCCAAATTCGGATCCTTTTTTTAGGTTCCCCCAAATAAGTACGGCACCCTTATAAAGAGGATCCTAAAAAGGCACCCCAATTTAGAGAACTACCCATTCGGGCAAACAAGTGATCTAGTAAAGAGGCCCTAATCCTTGAACCCCGAACCCGGGTGCCCTTACGTTGAAGGGGTTGCTACGGTTGATGATATAAATCCTGCATTACCCATAATAAGGAATATACCACAATCCATAGTTTAGGTAGGGTCCTTAAGGTAATGCAGGATGTATATCATCAACAGTAGGGAACATCGCAGGACTTGTTTTTTGTGGTGGGTTGTAGATTTCAGGGTTTAGGGCTTAGCGTATAGGGCTTAGTGAAATGTCTAGGGGCTATGCACAAAGATACTTCTTGGGATGGCATGTTCGGTCACCTTTGGGAAAACAGGTGCCTCAGCAGCAAATGACGGTGCAGAATTTTGGGTGTAGGATTTCGGGCAAGGCTTCACCTTACTCAAGGGACTAAAGGAGAGACCCTTCAAGGGAGCCTTGGGGTTATATAGGGCTTTATGAGACTATACAAGGGGTATATAAGGGTTAAATTAGGGTATTAGGATTAGGGGGCCTTGGGGTTATAAGGGGCTTTATGAGACTATATAAGGGGTATATACGGGTTATATTAGGGTATTAGGATTAGGGGTCCCTTCTAGGGGTCCCTCCTATTGCCCCTTAACTAACTTGGAGGATCATCGGACTTACTCGTAGTAAGAAGGTCAGAAGTACCTTAACTGGGGTTAGAACTAGCAAGAAGTATACTTATCTTACTTATAACCCACTTACTAAATCCCCTGATCCTCCAAGTATGCCATTCGTTGTATTTCGGGTCTCCCGATCATGACTGAACCGCCCCTGATTCATACTATACTCGCGAATCTAATGCGGTTCAGAGCGGGTCGTATCCATTAGCAAGAAATCGCTTCACATAGCCATGGAGGCCAAACGGTTAATTAAGACTGAAGACATCCCGTCATAACCTACAGAGACTTTGCAAGAGTCCACTCCACTAGTCACTAGTCGAGAAAAAGCGCAGCCACCAAACGTATGAGCATCGACAATACAAGTTTGCGCGCTTGTGCTGACATAGCAGAGGCATAAAGTATGCGGTCTTTCGTTCTTCCTTACAAGGCGGCTCCGTCATCCCTGGTTCACTCTAAATCCGTATCTATGGAACGCCTACACCCCAAGATCCGCATGAACTCGTACATTCCCTACGAACCACAAATGATATGATGTTTTTTTAGAATAACAGAACATCACATAACATAATACAACAGACAAATTCGCCACACCGAATACTGACCCCCCAAATAATAGCATCCGTGTTATAAATACTCCCGAAGAGACTAAACCCAACTTTCAGAAGTCCCATTTAAAGGACTTAGAAGAGAACGAGATAATGTAGGAGCATTATAATAGGATTTTGGGGTATTTTTAGACTATAGTTATGAGAAGGAACCCCCAAAGTAGCATTGGTAAATATCAAGACCCCCACATTACCTCCAGGCAGCACGCCGCGGCGAGCGGCGCAACGAGGCCTATGCGAAGGAGGCTCCAGAATTGAGTTTCGGTTGCAGGGCGTTCGATTGTTTAGGGTTTAGGTTTTTAGGGTTTAGGGTGTAAGCGTTAAGGTTTCGTGCACCATGATGCGTTAAAGGAGCAAGGTTCGTCTGTTCCTGTTTATTAACTGGGCAACGTTTTTGTGGATTCGCGTTGGCTTGGGGGGCTAGTCTAGGAGCTACGGCTTTGATCTTCAAGAGTTTTGAGAGCGGCACGAATCTGTGGGTACATGCTTTGGGCAATCAAGGTAGTAAGTGGGTAAGAAAGGGATTAGGTAGTAAGTGGGCAAGAAAGGGTGGGATTACTATCGCAAATGCAATGATAGCAGCCATATCCAGCACCTACTGGCCACGTCTTCTCAACATCTACACGTTTGTCTTGGGCGTTCCTGGATATCCAAGCTCATATGTCTTATATGGGTCTTGTTAAATTCGTCACCAGGAGTTCATAACCCCTACACCCTACCCATAGGCCCCTAAGTAGTTCCTTTTTGGGATTACCTTATAGGATCCTAAATATCAACCATAAAAAGGAACTACTTAGGGGCCTATGGGTACACCCTAAGCTTCGTAGCTGAGCTTGTATCCGAACTCCCGGTCTGGGTTATGAATCCCTGATCGCGTCTGAAAAAAACCTTCTTGAGACCCTGTTGAAAGCCCTGATACCTAGACGCTTCAACTACCCTTTAAAATACCCTAAGTAACCATTGTTGAGGACTATAAGAGCTCTATTAAATGGCACTTGGGTGCGCGTCGAGTTGAAGAGTTTGACGGGCCTCCGCGCAGTGGTGTTTCTTAGGAAGACGTTCGGCTGCCTGACCGACAAAAATATCCAACATCTGCTATTGCGCTACGACCTGGGACAGGACTGCTGCCGGCCGGTTCTGGTAGGCCCAGGAGCACAGCGCGGACTCCTGCACCTCCAGGGTCGGAGCCGCCTCGCGGTGCCGAAGCGGCAGCCAGATCCTCTCATGGTACGAGGACCTGGAACTCGGTAGCAGGAAGATGCTCGCCAGGTTGAGACTGCAGTTTCCAGACTTGCGTCGGGGCACTGGCGAGACGACACAGAAGTCCGAAGCGGCTTGGGGTGGGGGGGGGGGGCTTTTCTGATATGCCCAGCTACGAAAGTTAAAATCAAACAAAAAAATATAGTCGCTTTCGGGATCCCTCAGAGGTTCCCCCTACAGGGATTAAGGGTTTGGGGTTTAGGGTTCAGGGGTTGAGGGTTTAGGAGTTTGGGGTTTAGGGTTTCAGGGTTTAGGGTTTAGGGGTTTAGGTAACTAGGTTCCCCAGTAGTACCCTTCAGGGTCGAGGGTTTTATGGTTTTGGGTGGAGCTGAGGGATGCGTGGCACAGGACGGCCCAGAGCTCCCTGTGGCAGCAAAAGAGGCCTCCGATCCAACTGATGGATTTTTTGTAGGGGCTTGTAATCAAAACAATAGTAACAATAATACTAATAATAACAAAGTAGTAGTAATAGAAATATAGAACTGGAAATAGTAATAGTAATAGATATAGAAACAGTAATAGTAATAGTAATCATAATAGTAACCATAATCATAATCATAATCATAATAAGACCAGGGCTTCATTCTTATAACCTTAAACCCTAAACCAGGAATCCAAAGGAATAACATTGTTAGATATGAGAGTCTTAGCTGCCCAGTACCCTGGCCCAAAAGAGCTTAACCTTGTCTTGTAGTAGGGGTTTAATATACCAACAAAGTTTAAAGTTTACCTAGTGGGCTCCCAGGGATAATTTTAAACGAACCCTTTTTGTGGGGGTTTCGGACGAAGGCTTCAGCATTCCGTTTTGAACGCCGCGAGAGATCATCGGCCTTGGCTTGGGGGTTTGGGGTTTAGGGTTGGGATTTGACCGTGCTTAGTTCTCCAACACGTCACCTTTCATTTTGGGGTTTAGGGTTTAGGGCTTTGGGTTTGGGGCGTTTAAAGATGTTCATATCCCTCTAAGAAGCTGAACCGGGATGCTCCTGGGCGTTGTCGCAGCAAGCTCAATCAGCGGTTTGACGCTTGGGGGCCTCGGGGTTAGAGGGTACTTATCGCGGGGCTGAGAGTTTCGGGATTTCTCCGTGTTCACAAAATCCTAAGAGGTCTCACGAGTTCTGCACGAGTGGGGTTAGAGTTTAGTTAGTTAGAATTTAGGATTCAGGAAGTTACAAGTTGTGTGGCCTTGCGTGCGGAGCTTTAAGTTTGAAATTAGTTTCAACTCCACAGTAAGCCCTAGACCACCTCTATTCTCGAAACGGATCCCACCAAAACTGTCCGGCAATCTCATGATACAATCTTTGTGCGCATGGGCCATGCAGAATTTGCCAGCAAGATGTCTTCTTGAACTTGACGCAGACAGAGCAGGGATGGATCATCTATGAGGGTGGATGCCCCGCAGGGGCGGGCCGGGCCAGACGGGTCTTCATGGGCTGTCGCAAGGTGGAGTCATAATATTAAGGTCCCTACAATTTAAGGTATATTCCTTATCTAAAGGGTATTGGGCTCTCTGGGTATGTGTGCCCAAGTGCCGACGGCACGTACCCGCATCAAGGTGCAGCCGCGGGAGAGTTTCTCCACGACCGGAGAAAGCACGACTTGCCAGACCACGTGGTCGAGCGTCAAGTTCCGGCAAACGCTGAGTTGCCTTTGATCTCCAAGGAGGCAGAGCAGCAGGTGCTTGATGCCGCTGTAGTCCCGGAGGCTCCGGATGACTGGCGCGACGAGCATGGCCCAGATGTGCCGATCTTCTGGCAAGAAAGCAAGTCGATTGCATTCTGGACCGGCCTCCTCGATGCGCTGAAGGTCCGTGCAACCATGGACCTGAGTCCGGGCAGCGGTGCCCTGTTCGAGGCTGCTCTGAGCCGTGGCTTCCTGTACCACGGCCTCTGCAGGAACCGGTCGCAGATGAACTGGCCGCAGGGCATCGCTGACAGAGCCACCTGTGGCTTGATTGCCACCGAGGGAAGCAGCCTGCTCAGCTCCGAGTTGCTCTAGGTTATAGTTATAGGGTTTAGGCTGAAGAACCTGCGGGAATTTGAGATCGAGCACCGAAGAAACTGGAGCAGCCCAAACCGCAAGCCCTAAACCCACCAAAAAACACAAACGGAGCCCTACAACGCCCTATTGTAACTCCCTTCGACATCTCGTAGAACCCTCTTAAACCATGCAAAATCGGAGCCCCACGCCCAACCCCTAAACCCCAAACCACCCAAAGCTGAGCCCCAAAGCCCGAAACCCGTGAACCCCAAAAAACCCTAAAGTCCCAAAACCCCCAAAACACCTCACCCCTAAACCCCCAAACCCTAAACCCCTAAAGCCCAAAACCCCTAAACCCCCAAAACCCCTAAGCCCCCAAACCCTGAAACCTTGAAGCCCTAAGCCCCAAAGAGCCCTTCAAAGCCAGGCCGCTTCTTGCGCCCTTTGCAGGCGTCCGGCACCCGCAGAGGAGGGAAGAGCCGGGGGTATCAGAAACCAGAAGCGACTTGAATCCTAGGTAGGCTTAGGGTGCAGGGTTTAGGGTGGAGGGTGCAGGGTTTAGGGTTGAGGATTCAGGGTTTAGGATTGAGGAGTCAGGGTTGAGGGTTGAGGGTTTTGAGGCTATTGCGTTTCCAACTTTTTAGCTTTTACTCTGTATCAGAGTCTTTGTACCAGGGTAAATGCCACACAGTGAAAGAGGAGACACTTAAATCCTGACTTAAAAAGGGGAGGGATTGAATGAGTACACTTTATAAACTTTTTCATATGATCCCTTGTAGAACTGAGAGTGTACACTTGTTTTGCTTATGAGCTCAGCAACTAAGTTAGGGTTCCGGGTTTACCTGTAGCCGAACAGACCTACCTTTTCAATGGGTTATACCATAATAACCCAGAGAGCCCAATACCCCTTAACGAAGGAATATACCTCAAATTATAGGGGCCTTAATATCATGATTTAAGGTCTATTCCTTAACTAAGGGGTGTTGGGCTCTCTGGGAAGCAACCCTAAACCCTAAAACCCTAAACCCTAAACCCTAAAACCCTAAAACCCTAAACCCAAAACCCAAAACCCTAAACCGTGGCGGCTAGAGGTAGGGTTTGGGGGATCTTCCGGTGAAGACCCAGAGCCCCATTGACCTGATTCCACGGAGACTCGGAGATACGGCGGATGGTATAGATCCTGAATAGCCCACAACAGGGAATATGCCAGACTTCCCATAGTTTAGGGTTCTTAAGGTGACCTTGAACTAGGGGAATTATGGTACATACTCCTTGTTATGGGTAATGCAGGGTTTATATCATCCACCGTATGATTCCACCAAGTTTCGAACCCCTCGAAACTCCAACAGACCCAGACCCCCAGACCATAGGGAACCTAAGAATTGCCAATACTATTTTTATTTTTTTGGCGGATGGGTCCTTTTTGCAGTTATAGCATAAAGGGCCCCAAAACTCTGTTCTAATTATAACGGCTCATAAATTAGCTGTAAACTCTAAACGCCAAGCTCCCCAGGCCCAAAATCTACGAACCCCCAACCCGCACTAAGCGGTTGAAGGAGCCCGCCGAAGGAGCCCTCAAAAGAATTCTTTAGGGGTTTAGAGTTTAGTGATTTAGTGGTTTAGGGTTTAGGGGTTTAGGGTTTAGGGTTTAGGGGTTTAGGGGTTAAGGTTGAGGGTTTAGGGGTTTAGGGTTTGGGGTTGAGGGTTTAGAACCCTTCAACTGCACGCCCATTGCTGCTTCAAGGAGCTCCACGCCAAGAAGGCGAGCTCCAAGAAGGAGGAGCCCCGGTCAAGAGTTGGGTAGTTCTCTAAATTAGGCCCCTTTTTAGGTTCCTTAAATTGATCTACAATACGGGTTTCTGGAAGGGTACTATTTATTTGGGAATTTGGGTAGTTCTCTAAAGTTAGGGTCCCTGTTCGGGCCCTTAGGGGACCTGAAAGGGCACTTGAAATCTTGGACGGCTAAGAGTTTCATTAAGCCTATATAGTTAGTAGCCCTTTTCCCTGGTGTTTTTTAGGGTTTAGGGTTTAGGGTTTTGGTCCACAAGATAGTGTGTGTGTGTGTATGTGTGTATATATATATACAGTTAATGCAACTTTAACTGTCGAAACCGTCGCTGCCTTTGCTGTTGTTTTGATTTGTCATTTTGCTTGTTTGCTTCTTTGTTAGAGGAGTTGGTAGTGTTTCGGGATTTTTTGGGGAGGGGGATTTTAAAAAACCAAACTGCAACGGGAGTTGACGTGGCAAGTTGCGAGGTTTTGTTGGGGATCTAGGGTTGAATTAGGGTTTAGGGTTTAGGGCTTAAGGTTTAGGGTTTAGGGTTTTCCCTGCCCCCCTCCCCTCCCCAGGTTGAGGAGGGGGGGGTATTCGGAAAGCTAGAGATTCTGCAAGGAGCTAGCATTCCGGGTTCCGGCCTTACGGGATGACTTAAAGGTAGGTTTAGAGTTGCGGGCTTAGGGTTTAGGGTTTCGGGCTTTCTGGTTTCCTTGAAGTGGAATTTGAGCCGAGTCCAAGCTAGAAAGGGTCCTTTCCAGCGCAGCTACAATCTATTGTAAACCCTGAGGATCCGTTATCCTAGGACTGTTGAGGGCGCGATAGTACGGCCCTACTTAGTAGCTGAATTGGTACACTTTAAGCTTCTTGGGATAAGATGATCCCTTACAGAACTGAAAGTGTACACTTCTTTGTGCTTTTGAACTCAGCAACTAAGCTAAGTTAAGGCCTATCCCGATACTTCGACAAAAGGACCCGTAAGGCCCCAGGGAGCTTCAGACCTGGATTTTCCCACGTATCCTACGGTGGAAGGACCCTAAGCTATGGGAATTATGGTATATTCCTTATTATGGGTAATGCAGGATTTATGCCATCAACCGTACTAACACGATGCTCCTTCGCAGATTGCCGATCCGATGAGAGTTTAAAGGATCTTGCTGGATTCAGGATTGTCGGAAGATCGGATTAAGGTCCCTCAGCAGGATTCTAGCATCCTTTGGGGAGGGTCTTGGGACCCTCTGATGAAGCAGTATACCTCAAATCATGTGATGCCCGCTACACGTTAGGCAGTGTTCCTGCGTTGTAGGAGTTGTCTCGTGACCGTTCTTTCATTATACTGGAACCGGGCTTTCTTTCGCTGACTTTTTCCCGCTCGTGTTTAGCTTTGCTTTATGTAGTAAGCTATCCGGTGTTGAGAGCTTCAGTGCAGAATTCAGCATGCCTGCATGCCCATCGGAGCTGCTGAGGAGAAGCTCTATTGCACTACCTGCTGCGCCCTCTCAAAGGCAAGGAAACCACCTAATGAATATAGGGGGGTCGGGATGATTTGTCATGTCATTCCTTGGGGCTCCTGTTCTAAAAATAAAGGCCCCTACTGTATACTATTTCGGGGATGAGGGCACGCTATTGTCTCTTTGCAATTGTAGCATAACTCTGTGCCCTCCTCCCCTACTTCAGGTCCGTGGCTCTCCTGCACACTGATTTCGGGTTCAGGCAGTCGTGCAGAATTCTGGTTCCTGAACCTCAATTGCCCATAGTATTCCATCAGGCTCCCGTTTAACTATCTTTGTACTAGAACACACCCCGAAGCGTCTTCGCTTGTCTTGGGAAGGGTTGTCTAGGCAACCAATCTGGACACTCTGAAGCCCGAATGCCCTGAAGCCCATCTTTGAACCCACCAAACCCCCTCAAAATCTTGCAGCCTTGAATCCTAGCGCCATACCCAGACATATGGAAGGATCTAAAAGGTAGATCCCCTAATTCGACACTGAGGCCCTGCACTGCTAAACGATGCTCTATCTCCGTGGTGCAGCCCGATGGTTCCTTCCGTGCTACCGCACCAAACACCGCAGATGCCGCTCAGCGGCCTCTCTGCGAGAGCCTGGAAATCTCGAGACGTCCCTTCCTGAAGATGGCCATATTGATGAAGCAACTCCGCTGGCTACTGAGACGGCTGGCGTTCACGCAGTGGCGCCGCGTGGGTCGGCGCTGCTGAACGGGCGGTTGGGTGCCGATGCGAGGTCAGAGCTCCCAGCCGATATCTTGCAGTCCATCGAAGATGTGTACAGCGCAGTGCTGGCGGTGTGGATCACGCGCTTCGATTCCCTTCAGAACTCTCTCCTATTGAAGGCGGAGACGGAGGAGCAGAAGCAGATCTGCCTTGCTGCCTTTCAGGATCGCGTGCGCGCCGCGTGCAATGGAGCTCGTTCCGATCGTGTTCGGGATAATATGATCCCTTATAGAACTGAAAGTGTACAATTTTTGAACTCAGCAACAAAGTATAATCGGCCCCAAAGCCCTGTTCTAAGTATGAAGGCTTCTATACTTGACCCGGAAGACCCTGAAACCCCAAAAACCTTCTTGTGCCCCCGTAGTGGAACTCCTTAGGGTTTAGGGTTTAGGGGTTTTGGGGTTTGGGGTTTAGGGGTTTTGGGTTTTGGGTTTAGGGTTTAGGAGACCCCTGAAGGAGCAACGGAAAAAAAAGGGCCTCCCTGCAGGAAGAGTGGCAGCAAAAGCGCCGGGAGGTCTACACTGAAAAGATGACAAAGCGGGGCTACGGAGGCCTGGCTCAAGAACAATTTCTTAAGGGTTAAAGAGCTTGGGGCTTAAGGGTTGAAGCATTAGGCGCTTCAGGGTTCTGGGGTTATCCGGCCTTACATTACGGGACAAGAACGGGTTTCGCGTGGATCCGAGGAGCCCTGACTTGACTCTTCTTAGCATGGCTTTTAGGTTGTTGGTGGTGTGGGGTTAAACGGGATCTCCAGCAACATGCACCTTGTACCACCAGTAGAGTCGAGTAGTTAACAGGGCAAATACTGAGTAACTGAGTAGGAAACCTTTAACTTTTTGGGGCTTATATAACCCTACCATGGTTCGAAAGGTTACCCTTTTTTGGGCTAGGATACTCAGCCCCTAAGAATAGTCACAAGTTCAGCTCTCATTGCTGTGAATCCCTCGCGAGAGCGGCTGCAAAGCTGAAATGGGTGGGGTTTGTGCGACTCCTCCACAGCTGAAAGCATACCTGTTGGGCCTACGAGCTACACAACTCGGGAAGGGAGCGCATAAGAAAGTAGTCACAAACGAACAACCTAGGTGGTCCTGATTGCGAGCTTGTCCGCACCTGGCCCTGCACAGACCTAGCAGCCAAAATCTCCAAACCTAGGTTGGGCCTGTACAAGAGGCACGTCATAAGGGTTAATACACTTGTTCCATACGACAAGAACCATAATACCAATCTAACCCTAATTGGAATGCTACTACCGAAAGTGCTAGCAACAAAGAGTGTTAAAGATTTTTCTTAAACCCTAAACTGTGTTAAGGATTTCACTTCAGGTTCTGCCAGCACAGCAGTGCCGGCGAATGGCGTGCCATGTGGCATTGGTCGCCCAGCCGCCTGTGAGAAGAGAAGATTCGGAGAGTTGGCTCCCTCGTTTGTAACTTAGCATACTAAACCCTAAACCCTAAACCCTGAAACCCTAAACCGCTCGTTTTATGAGAGTACGTAACCTTTAGCCACATAAGCCGCTTACAGTCCCAGTATAGTCTCAAAGGTAAACCTTCAGTCCCCTGAGACATGGGACAAGTGCGATAGGGTTCTTTAAGGGGTTCTACAGAGGGTTTTTACTACAGGTTCTATAGTTAAGACCGAAAAATAGGGCAAAAAAACGCACAAGACCCAAAGGCAGAGTGCGGAGCACCGCACTTGATCAAATGCTCCATGTATTCCAGCACAACCTGGGAGTCGATCGGAAGCGCCGAAATGCCGTGACCTGAGCACCAACGCACCATCTTGGCTAGGCTGGACAGCCTCTTCTTTTAGGGTTTAGGGTTTAGCGTTTAGGGTTTTGGGGTTTAGGGTTTAGGGTTCAACTTTGATATGGGACTTTCTGCAAATTAGGGGTAGCTTATTTTGGGGGTCCTTATGATAAGGATCCTACTATCTTCGGAGACCCGCATAAGGCCTCCCCCCCTTAAAGCTTCGGCCACCAAACCAGCTCCGGCAGCTTCAGGCTGGTCCTTCAAAAGCCGGCCAAGCGAAGAACACGCACAAGCATGACTCAGCAAAACGTCATAATAATAAGAATAAGAAGAAGAATAGTAATAATAATAACAACAATAATAATAAAAATGATAATAATATTAATAATAGTACCTAACAGCCAAGAGCTGCAACTGCTGCTCTGAGGCCTTTGAAACTTACGTGCAGAAAAGGCAACCTGAGCAAATTGCGAAACAACCTTCGGGGGCTGGGCCTTGGCTGCCGCCCTCTGCGAAGAATGCAGAATCTAGGAGTTTTCGGGTCCCTTTTATAAGGGTGCCGTACTAAAAAGGGACTTGTATTCACAAGCCTTGAGGCACAAACTCAAAGCCCTGAGACACAAAGCCCTCAAAGCCCAAGGCTGTTGATTCTGTTTCCTGGTTTTGCTATTAGGCTTGAGGGATGCAGGGTTTAGGCCTATCTGTGGAGAGCCATATTTTAAGGCTGTACCTATGTGAGTCTTCAACCCTAAAACTTACACCCTGACATGAGACTGCAGACGAGGCTTTGCCTGCAACAGCGCAGTGCAGCAGTCCAGTGGTGCCTTGGCTTCCTGAAGGCTGCTGTTTCTGTCGGAGCATCTATTCCAGGGTCCTTCAAGGCTTTTCCTTGCGCTTCCTTCAAAGGTTCCTGTACGGGGTTCTACAAGGGATTACGACAAAGCTGGTTTGTTGCGGAGAAGTCCCCCTTGAAGCCACTGTTCATCTTTAAGGCGGTGGTGTTCCTCAGCAGCCAGTTTGCTTTATCATGGTATACACCGAGGGGCGTGCCAATGATTTAGATTTTGGGGTCGTGTAAAACGGGCGTGGTATTATACTACGACCCCAAATAGGTTCCCAAAGTGCCTAATGCTCTTTGAAGAACGAGGAGCGTCTTCACTGTTCTTACCAATGTGTGTGCACACTTCTGGGTTCGATGGTTGCTGTTTGCTCACAATCTGAGAGGAGTAGAGACAATGGTTCCCCAAGAGCCAATGCCTTTTGAATGCCTTTTGAATCATAGCAATACTCCCCGGAATTTGGAAGGCTTCCTGACGTATTTGTTGGTGTTTAGGCTTTAGGGTTTCGGCCCGTGGGTTGGTTGGGACTGCGAAAGGCCGCATCAAACACCAGCAGCTTACCTGCGGTGGGGTGCCAGGGCTCGTAAACTGTCAGGGGGATTGGGGTTACTGACTTCTTGTTAAGGAGCTTCGTTCAAGCCACCCCTAATAAGGGGGCTTTATTAATTACCCATATTATTGTGAGGCCTCCTTATTATAATCATAATATACTGAACCCCAAACCCCAAAACCTTATTGTAATTATTAAGGCGCGTACATTACCCTAATAAACAAACTTGTTGTGGGCACCTAAGTCCCTAGCCCGACCTCTTCTTAACGTTAAGCTCAGCTCCTTGAGAAGAGCGCAAGTCACGAGCTTCGGTTTAAACTTCCTGATGATTAGTAGGGACTGGGTGAATGCATCCCTATGGTCCCTAAACCCGAAACCCCAAACTGTGGCTTATAGTAGCTCCTAGGTAATCAACAAAATCCATTCCCCCATTCCCTGCTAAGCACCAGTATAACGTGCTACGGATGAGGGCTATTTCTGAGACTGATGGCTTGGGATTTGACGTCTGGCGGTGTCTCGAACCTTGGCTTCAAGGTTCAATGTGCAGGGTTTAGGGCTTTAGGCTTAAGGTTGAGCTTCAAGGTTTTGTGTGTGGGGTTTATGGCTGTAGGGTTTAGGGTTTAGGCGTTTAGGGTTTATGGCTGTAGGGTTAAGGTGCAGAGGGTCAGAAGACTTGGTTTGGGTTCCTTGTGTGGGGGTTAGGGGAGGTCCTTGCGTCAGGCATCCTTCTATTGTGGTGGGCCTGTGCCCACCTTGTCTGCAATACCACAATCGCCAGCCCTGAAATATCCGGAGCCTGAAAACTGCTAGCCCTAAACCCTAAACCCAACAACCTCCTTTCACGGCCTGCAAATCCTGCCTTCGACGTTGAGGCGATTTCCTTTGCCGCTTCGATGCTGATGACGTGATGTACCGTGAGCGACACCTGGCACCGAAGGGCCTGAACAACGTTTAGATAAGATTAAGGAAGTGTTCCCCGTTACGTTTCTAGTATGCAACCCAAAACCCTGAAGATCTAGTTGTATCTGTGCATATAAACATATGTATATATTTATATGTACGTATAGACATATGTATATACCTCTAATAACTTACTTACGTAGATGTAAAAAATAAGAAGCATCAGCTTCCCCAAACAACCTGAATAGACGCTGCTGGGCTCTTGTTGAGGGGTTTAATTTAATTTACCATAGTAAGGAAACCTTATTTTTTACTATAGATGCCTATTATGGTCACTGAGATTAAAACCCTTAAACCCCACACCCTAAAACCTAAACCCTAATCCCTGAACCAGAACCATCTATCTCCGTGTGTGTGTGTGTGTGTGGGTGGAATTCCTGTTCCTAAGGAAGAC